TGTGGCTTATCAATCCAGCCAAGGCCTGTTGTTTCACCTTTATTCCTGATGCTCCCATACCCTCCCACACCCTCTGTGACCTACCGTCACCCCTCAGTATGCCAGGGCTCTCTTTAGACATTGTCACATTTCCTCAGGGGTTGTGCTATTTGAATTTCCACCAGGCTTGTATAAGAGCTTCTGTCTCTCCACAGCCTTGCCAACAGCATATGTTCTTACACTTTTGAATTTTTGCCAATCTGATAGGTGAGAAATGTTATCTCAGTATAGTTTTGATTTACATTTCTCTTGTTTTGAGTAACCTGCATTTTGAGTGAGTGAAAGCAGTCACACTTTGTGTTTTTCTTTGTGCTATTAGCCCTCACTGGAATGCCAGTAACCTCTGCCCCCCTCTTTCCCCTCCAATAAAGTCCTCATATTTCACCTCCCTTCTTCTTTGATGTTCTTAATCTTTCGAGGTAGGATTCTTTCCTCCGATGTACTTGCACGTCACATATAGCTCAGTTATGCCCTGAGGGAAGGGACCTTGGTCTCCTTCCATTTTACATTCCCAGTGACTGACAGTGTCTAGAAAATAATTGATGTTTACTAAATATTTGTTGGAATAATTGAATAATGATTTTAAATTAAGTATGGCATAAAAATTAGTATTTTTGGCTTGAATTCTAATTGAAAGTTTAAAGCTCACAGATGTACTTGTAACCTCTTTGTTTTCATTGATATCATTCCATGATTTTCTCAAATGAAGCAATGTTTGCAATAAGAGAAATACAGTATTTCAGAATTTCTAAAGTTTTTCTTTTAGCCTTAATAAATAAAAATATCTCAAATAAAAAGCACAGCAGCATTATATTGTATCATTATAAATTACTGTTATTTTCAAAGTCCAAAATAAATCTGTGATACGGATAAATTTGGTGTCTAATATTTGAAAGACAGCCCCACAGCACTGGCTGGCCCTGTTACTCTAGTTAATGTATATTTGCCCCTGTCATATAAAATATTTCTATAACTGTACACAAAAGTTTGTATAAAAATATTTTAATCTGAAAGCTTTTAAAAATGCTATTTTCAAGACTGTTAATTAAATGTCTTACATTGTTTAAGTGATAGGGCAACAGATAAGAAATATTTATTAACATATGTTGCACATAGGAAAGGAGTTTTTGTTGGAAATGATGAAGTTGAAGATTGCAGCGATGATAATCTATTGCTAAGTTATTTTACTTATTTTATCATGTTATTTTAGTGATACTGGATTTCTCATTTTTACGGGATGGCTCCTTCTCCCTTTAAAAAAGGGAAGAGGTAGTCAAAGTAGAGGAAAGGAGGTAAGAATGGCATATAAGGTAATAATTGTCAGTCTGGAGGATTGGAGGAAAAGGAGCAACAGACAGAAACACTTGTTTCTAAGAAAAAATGAGACCTCATACAATGATAGAAAGAGTCTCAATGTTTTATAGAGGAAGGCATAAATAAATCATGGTGTTTTTGCTTAGTGGATCAGGCAGCTGTTAAAATGCTTAGAAATGAAGACCTTGTACGGAGCAAAATGCTTAATAAAATGTTGAGTGAAAAAATAGAATTTTTATATCTATTCTATGTTCATAAGTATGTAGAAATAGACATACATCTGTAGGGAAATAGAGGAAAATGAGAATTGTGGGAATCTGCATTATTTTTGTTTTTATTATAGTTTTTATTAATATTATGCTATAAAAGATAAGGAGAAATACAAAGAATATGTTCAACTCAAGAGCAGAAACAAAACAAACTAAACAAAAAGGGAGAAAACAGAGCCAAACTACTTTTCACACAATTATTTACTGAGTCATGAAATTTTATAGTTGGAACATCTCCCCCAAGAGTTCTCAAAATTTTTGGTCTTAGGACCTCTTTACACTCTAAAAATTATTGAAGGCCCCAAAGAACTTTTATTTATGTGGGTTATGTCTGTCTGTATTTCCATATTAGAAATTAAAATTGAGAAATTAAAAAATATTAAGTCATTTAAAAATAACAATGATAAACCTATTACACGTTAACATTTTATGAAAAATAACTGTATATTCCAAAACAAAAATTTAATGAGAAGAGTGGCATTGTTTTATATTTTTGCAAATTTTAAAAATATTTGGCTCAATAAAAAACATGAATTCCCATATCTGCTTATCCATTCAATCTATTGTGTTATTTTGATTTGGCTAAATTATAGGAAGAAAATCTGGCCTCAAACAACTAAATAGTTAGAAAGGGAGGAGTCTTCTAATAGCATTTTCAGATAATTGTGGCTACATCACATTGCCTCTTGAAAACTCCACTGAACACACATGAGAGAATGAGATTGAAAAAGACAAATAATGTCTTAATATTATTATGAAAATAGTTTTAGCCCCATGAACTCCTTGAAAATGTTTAAAGACCTTCCAGGGGTTGCCCTGATCACACTTTTAAAACCTCTGTTCCAGCCCTTGAGAGATGAGAAAACAAATGTTAAGTGGTATTCCCAAATCACATGTTGGTAGAAGACAGAGCACTGGGACACAGCTCTTCTAGTTTAATTCATCATGCTTCTGGAGAACTTCAAATTATAGTGTGACTGAAGGACAACCTTAGAAATTGATCCTGTGATATCAAAAGATAATTATACCTCTTCATCTTGAAGATTTTAAAAAACCTCTATGGTAGGCAAATCAAAACTTTTTAGAGAAAGTAGTATTAGGACTATAAATGGATTATAAAAATGTAATCTTTAACAAATATAAGAAGATGTAGAAATATTAATTTAAACATTACATTTATAATAAAGGATATGACATTTAATTTTTGTTTATCACCTCTTGCTAAAAAAACTTCCTAACATCTTCTATCTCAATAACTTTAAATAGACGTTCTGATTTCATTTGGTTTGTTGGTTATTTACATGGCCATAATACAAGGCACTTTCCATGTCTGGTCCTCTACTCAAATTTTAGGTGGCTTTCTGGTTTTTAATGTTGTTCATTTATTCCTCCTAGATTCCACTGAGGTCTCAGAAACAGTGGTAACTTGAGTGCCTGCAATGGAAAACACTCTGGATAACCATTCTTTAGCCTACTCGAGTGGGCATTTCTCACAGTTTACCATCAGCGCACAGCGATGTGTAGAGGACTGTGCATGCTGCTGTCATCGTCAGTCAGCTCTCTCGCATATATCTCAGCTTCCTCCCCAACAGCCTGCCCCCAGCCCCTGGCAGTTCTGGCCTGCAGTTTAAGCCTGGGTCTGAGACTCTCCCTCAGCTTTCTTCATCTTTTCCAGGTTTCTATTGCAAAACTTCCTTCTCTGCCTTCTACTATACCTCCCTTTTCTATTCCCTACTTACCAGTTTCTTCTTTTAACGATTGTTCTCAATCAGAATGACTTCCAATTTACCTATACTAGAATCAAAATTCTCTCAGTTGCCAGAAAGATACACAGGAGCAAGTCTGTGTAGTCTTGAGCCTTGCGTGATACATCATGGTGGGTGAGATGGCCATCCTGGAGGCGTCTCTCCTCCTAGCCAAGCACCAGAACGCCTTCACTCCTTGCTTCCAGTTTGTGTTAAATATATTAGTGGTAAAAATCAGAGTTACTTTGTAATCAGCTGGCAATATCTTTAGGTCAGCTCTAACCAATTTTATCTTTTCTACCTTTTTTCTTTCCTAAAATAAAGTATTTAAAAGTTTTATGGGGAAACCCCCATATTTTTTATAACCTGTTTTTCACTTTGAGAAAAGTGGTGGGGCTGAGAACACAGTTACTTGGGATAGAGTGAGATGAAATTATGGGGGTCCTTTTGGCTTCATTGCATCCCCAATCCCCAGCCCCCATCCGACCTTCGAACGGTGAGATCGAAGTGTGGAAAAGGCCTGCTTAGGGCTGTGCATCTGCTCTTGTGTTTGCTCTTTTGTCTCTGCTCTTCTTTTGGAATAAAGTTTGCAGTGGGGGCCTTCATGTCCAGGTTATAGTTACAGAACTCTCCTGTCAAGTTGTATGGCACTGCATTTTTAGCTTTTTTTTTTTTTCTTTTCCCTTTGGTGCTGTAAAGGCATGTTGTGGGTTGGAGAAAATAAAAAGAAAATGCATTAATTTGAAATATTCTACAGCATTTGTTCTACCTACATCATATAACTATTTCTATCTTCTCTTTCTAGACCGTTTTCTAATTTTCTGTGTCCCCGCAGGACATAATTATTTCAGTATTTCACATACCGGTGGAAGCTTACAATAGATTTGTTTTTTAAAAAGAAGAATCGAAAAATGTAGTCTAGCTAGGGAGGTGGTATGATGGAGGGAGTACTGTGATGGGCGTTTGGATATTTAAGTTCTGATCTCATCCTTATCATAACTATCTCTGCGACTTTGTCAAATTACTCAACTACCCCAAGCTTTTTTCTCTTCTGTGAGAAAATTGTTAAATGATGTCTAAGAGTATTTGCCCCTTACTTTACCATTTAATTTATTCAATAGTTATTTTCAGGTGCCTGTTGTGTGCTGGGCACTGTTATGAGTGCTGAAAATATGGTAGACAACCAGACAGCCATAGTTCTGCTTTCACTGATGCTGTTTATAATCTGCTATGGGATGTCTGTCTCCCCTACTGGATAGCAGACATAGGAATCTGAAGGACAGTCCTGGCTCTGTGTCTAAATCGGGAAGGGCCACTACAAAACCTTTAAATGCTCTGTTTCTTTACTTTCTCAGCTATGAAATGAAGACAATAATATCTAACCTATTTACCTTACACAGTTTTAAGACTAAAATAAAATAATGTATGTGGGAATATATCTGAATATAGTCATAGTATGGTACAGTGTGTAGTAGTGTCTGTAGTAATGTAAAATATTAATGTTGCCTTAAAATTTCACATGTAATTCATTAGAGTTTGGATGGGGGAAAAAAAAAACCCTAAATTAACTTAATCTTGGAGTTTAGAGATAATTGAAAAATATGAAATATCTTTGTTTTTCTTCTCTTCACAGAAAAAGATAATGCTAAATATGTTTTTAGACACAATGATGGCTGACCCTCCTCCCCAGTGCCTTGTCTGGCTACCTCTCATGCACAGGCTTGCCCATGTTGAGAATGGTAAGCAGAACTTTTATTGTTCAGTTCCTCACGTTATAGGAAGTGCAGGAACTGATTATTTGCAATGTCCTTAGCTCTTCTGTCATTTGAAATTATATTTGACATTTTGCTGTCACTCTATTGTTTGAATTTGTGGTTTTGGCTTTCAAAAGAGGAATATTTATTTTTTTAAAAAAAGGGACGAGACTTATTACTTAGGTTACAAAGCGGTAGTAATACTCTAGGTCATAATACTTTGTGGTTCAAACTGTAGGCTTTTCTTTCCTCAGATTGCAGATGGTTGTTTTCTGGGTAAGCCCACCTAATTTAGTTATGACTTCCTTTTTTTCCCCTTTAATTTATCAAAAACATAGCTCTAAAAAATTGGATATGTGCAATATCAACTGCTAAAAGTATAATTATTTTGGAATAATTTAAATAAAAATAGCTAAGATATAATTTAGTACTGGATTTCACACATCTTCCATTTTTTTGCTTTACTATTTTGCCTTGAATGTACTCTTGGTGTCCTTCCCAGTAATTTGACTTAAATCTCTGTTTTGCATTGAATTGAAGTAGTACTTATCTCTGAGTAACTTCTTTATTTTTTCTATTATTGCCATCAGCTTATCTCCTTGTTTAGGTTGTCTGAATTTATTAACGGGAAAGCCATAGTTTTTCTGGCAACCTCCCTTCTCTCAAGGCTCTGGCCCGTCTTTCCTCGTTCCTCAGAAGAGAACAAGGAATAGCTGAGAAGCCACTAAAAAGCAGAGTCTTCTTTTTCCCCCTTGTAAGAATGAAATATGCTTCCATACTGTTTTTATTTTCTCCCTCTCCTATGCACACTTTAAAATTTTTTTTTTAAATTTCTCAGCCTGTTACCCAACTATGGCTTTAGTTCACAAGTCCTTCAGATTCAGGATTAGTTTTCTTAAAGGACCAGAATCTCTTGACGAGACTTAAAACAGCCACATTTTTGAAACAGGATTTTAAATAGAGATTTCAATTTTGGGGAGCAGTGTTTTTCTAGCCTTAAGTACTTTAGTAGTTTTGTGTCGAGTTGATTTTTGTAAAATCATTTTGTATCTGCTATACCAAACAGAGCCTCGTTTGTCAAGATGTATTGTTATCCATTTTATTGTGATTTTGTATGCAGTGTTTTATTTATTGATTGTGTTCTTATGTGGTTAGCAATATTATTTTTCCCAGTGACAGATAAACATTATGAAATAATTGAAATATCTAGAAATAAAATGTTACCTATCACACTAACATTTGTATGTCTTAATTTTAATGGTGAGAAACAAATTATAAAATTGTGATATTTCTAAGTTTTTTTTCTTATTTAGACCCTTTAATTCCTATGAAATTTATCAGTTGAATTATTTTGAAGTTACCATTCATAAGGAAAAATATTTATTTGTTCAAGCAAAAGTTATACTTTGTATATTGGTTTAGTAACCCAAGTAAACCTTAGTGTGTAAGAAGGTAACTATTACATGATGCACTTTATTAAAATCATACTTTTGCCAGAATCTGAACAGTTCTTACCTTTCTTATTTATAATTGGCCCAGGTTGATCCTTTCTTCATTCCAGTTCTCAGCTTTTCCACCTGGTCACCCATTCTACTGACTAAGCACTGGCTCTTGACTGATTCATAAGAGAATAGAAGAAAAATCACATAGATATACATACTCAACCAAAATTATCATACTATATTTGATAATATTAATATACATGTGTCATTTGATATTAACCCAAATTACTTAGAATTACAAATATTGGCTACAGTGATGTTGATGCCATTGATGTTAGCTCTAGATTGAGTTGGTAGTCCTGTTTTCTGGAGGAACTATACTATATTGTATAGTTTTAATTTGGAGCATACACTCTTTTTTTTTTTTTTCTTTTTGAGACAGAGTCTCGCTCTATTGCCCGGGCTAGAGTGCTGTGGCGTCAGGCCAGCTCACAGCAATCTCAAACTCCTGGGCTCAAGGAATCCTTCTGCCTCAGCCTCTCGAGTAGCTGGGACTACAGGCATGCACCACCATGCCCGGCTAATTTTTTCTCTAGATATATTTTAATTGTCCAGCTGATTTCTTTCTATTTTTAGTAGAGATGGGGTCTCGCTCTTGCTCAGGCTGGTCTCGAACTCCTAAGCTCAAACGATCCGCCCGCCTTGGCCTCCCAGAGTGCTAGGATTACAGGCGTGAGCCACCACGCCCTGCCTGGAGCACACACTCTTAATTAGCACCTTCAGCATGCCTTGGAAATACCTTGATGGCAAATAGCTTGCAGAGGAAGTTATGTACTTTGGATTTTTCATTCCTGATTTTACTTTTCTTTTAGTCCTTTGTGATCTTCTTATATTGTTTTTCTTACCTAGTGCTCAATTTGTTTTTGAGTCTTGATTCCCTAGTTAATATACATTTTTGGGAGCAGGACTAAAAATCATTATACTTGAGATAAGATGGGTATCATATACATGATACTAGAAAGAGTTATTCAGTGAAGATTTAAATAATATACCCCTTTCCTGTTGACTTCCATTTCTTGTGTTCAGAATTGAATTGCCAGAGGAATCAATTATGTACCAACATTTAGAAGTATAAATAATAACCTATCATATACAATTGTGTATTGCCCATGACAGCATATTAGAATGATTATTAGATGGGAATGTAATAGAATTATGTGGAAAATTTTTTTCTGATTTACTAAGTCTTTTCCTTTTATTATAGTAAATGGCCGATTAGATGAACAGATAATTTAGATTCTTCAGTTCTAATTTTGTTTTCACCTTTCCTTTTATATTAATATTAGATTTGGTTTTCTTCTGTATTGACTTTATTATCCAAATGAAAATTCTTCCTTTTTTCTTATCCATCCCTCCTCACCTCCCCTTCTCTCTCTCCCTTTCTCTCGGTCCACAGTCTTCCATCCTGTAGAGTGCTCCTATTGCCGGTGTGAGAGTATGATGGGTTTCCGGTACCGATGCCAGCAGTGCCACAACTATCAGCTCTGCCAGAACTGCTTTTGGCGTGGCCATGCCAGTGGCCCTCACAGCAACCAGCACCAGATGAAGGAGCATTCCTCTTGGGTAACTGATTCCTGTTTCCTCTGTGTCCCTGAGTGTTAATCTGTTTCATCAGTAACAGCACATAGGCCAGTTTCCTGATGGATGCCTACCAAATAAGCATGTAGTATAATAACATCTTAATACTAACGTTTATGCTGGGGTTGCAAAAATGTTATGCTTCTTCATTTGAATTTAAAAACAGAATTTTAAAAAATTCTAGGAGATAAAGATATTACTACATTTGAAATGGTCCCCTTTATTCAGTAAAATAAAATATTGCGATGCTCTCTGTCCAAAGTAAAAAGTAAGTTTCTTCTTATTTTAAAATTGTACAAGGCATATCCCCCCAAATGCTTATTCTTTTGAACTTTAAGTAAGATTTAAAGTTCTTTTTGCAAGCAAAACTTCCTCACATTTATAGGGTTTAAATGTTGCAAAGAAAACTACATGAAATAAAGGAGTTAAACTTTTGCCTCTCTAACGTTGGAGAAAATATTATATTTTTGCCATGTTGGTATCTTTACCTTCAAAAGTGTTTTTTAAAATAATATTTGGGTGGAGCTCAATGTCTGATTTTTCTATGGTATCTATAAATCATGTAACATGCTCATCATCAATTATTTTTCTTCCCTTCTCTCAATTTATTGTGAATTTTTAAAATGCCATAGTTTTCTTTCCAAAAATTTGCTATAGCCTATGTTTTAAAACCTTTCCTCTAGTTATTATTGGTCGCTTGGTTTGCTAAACACTAGAAAAATATAATATACAGGGTCACAAGTATAATTCAGAACCTAAGTTCTTATGCCTGGTTATCCTTTTGGTCTTCAAGTATTAGAAAGCTTTAATAACCAATTTTTATTTTCCCTTTAGTCTTAAAACTCAACCAAGAAAAGGCGAATAAGGTCCTATCAGGGATTAGTTAAAGAAAAAACATAACAAACTGCAACCCATGTGTACACTTAACTCTGTTTCCTGCATTTTTGACAACCTGTTACAGATCTATGTTTTTTATTAGATAGGCTTCAATTATAATATAAAATTTCATTAAACTGAATATTCTATCCTGGGTTCTGTTGTGTTGTGAGTTCCAATATATATGTCTTTTTGGTTGAATGGCCATTTTTTTAAATCTTTAAGAAAAAAAAAACCCAGTAATGTCTTCTCTTTTTCATTGAATAAAGAGAATTTACAGATTTTCAAATTGTTACTTTTCTCTTTCTTAAAGTGCAAGTACCCTACTGTGTTAATTGATTTGTTAATGTTTCTTCCACTGTTTTTTGTTTATAGTCTAACTCTTTACACCAAGATAGGTTTTGCTCTTTTACCTTTCATGACAATTGGGCTCACTGGTATGTTTCTACTGAAAAATTCTCATTCTAGATTTGGGGTTAGGAGAATGAGGAACTTCATGTTCCCCCTAATTTGAACTTGCTCATTTGGCTAATTTATAACCCTTTTAGGAATGGAGATTTGACATTTATGTGAAGATAAGTGACTGAATACTGTTACAAAGCACTTTTTCATATACTCTGTTGAATTTTTTCATTGTGTTACACGTACAGAAAAGTACAGAAATGACAAATGAATTCTATTCCTGTTTGATCCCCACAACACTTGTGAAGCAGGTCTTGTTTCCATTTGTTGTTATTTTTATTTCAGCTTTGTTTTTTTGTTTTATTTGTTTTTGTTACAGTGACTTAAGATTTTAAAAAAATCAAGTATTATCATCATCTATAATTTTGAAGCTGGTATGATAAATGTATCAGTTCTGAATTTTGAGGGGTGTATGCATTGTATACAGTAGAAACATACTGGTAAGGCCTTTCAACAGTATGTGTGTCGACATGTAACTTGTTTTCAAAATTAAGATTCTGTGCCCTTGCTCTTTGAGAAAGATATGGGTGAATTTCGAGGCTGGGTAAAGATGTTTCTAGCTAACATAAAGATATGTAATTAGTTTAATAGTAATTTCTTTGATGGGTGTCCACTGTGTTTGTACTAACATTTTGAACGAATGTTTATGTTCACAACAGATGAATTTAGTGTGTGTTTAACCAGTGTGTTTATAAATTTGTATTTGATATGTGAGTATTTAGTACCTAGATGTTTATTTTGGTTTTTCCAGAAGTTTCTGTTTTAATATTTTATCTAAGTAACTATGCAGTATAATTCATTATGTTTTTAGTTCTTGGTCCATTTAGTTTGCTTTTATTACAAAAAATAATGATATATGGTACGATATCTGTGATTCATCCTGTCCATTTATTCACTCAAAAGATATTTTTTAAGCACCTACTATGTGCCAGGTCCTATAGGGGACACTTGGGATACACCTATGAACAAACCAGACAAAGATTCTTGCCCTTGTGGATCTTAAACTCAATAAGGAGTTTAGGAGAGAGTATGAAAGAGGCTGCCAGGGCTGGTCAGCGTCACTGTTTTCTTGTTCATGCTGGGCACACACTTAGACTACATTTCTCAGCCCTCGGGTAGCTAAGTGGGACCATGGGATTAGTTCCTGCTTGTGGAATGTGAACAGAATGATGGATGTCTTCTCAGAACAAGACAGTTAATAGCAAGGTGCCTTCTCTGCCTCTCTGCTACCTTGGAGGAGAGAATGCCATTAGCACCCAGTGGAGGGTGAAAGCATAAAATAAAAGGAAACTGGGTCCTCAAATGGAGAAGAATATCCATCAACCCACATGATTGGGCCATGATAAAAACTTTGTGTTAAGTCCTTGAGGTTTTAGTGCTAGAAATAGAGTTCTGTTAAAACCTTAACATTTGGGCATTGGCTTAGCAGTCAGGTGGCACACTGTTGAGGGAATGGTATTGGAGAGGAAAAGACAGAAACCCATGTTATGTAGTGGTAACTAATTTGGCAAATTTGTCATCTGTGATGACTTGGGAGGCACACCTCACGCCAACTGAGCTCTAGGTCAAGTGTTGGAAAGGATCCAAGTGTGAGACTATTAATGGTAAAGTGATACAAGAAAGACATGAGCTTAGAAAGAATTGGCTAGTTTGCAAGCTGTAAACGAAAGGGAACAGAGAAAGTTCTGACAGTTGGGGCAGTAAACGGAAAAACAAAGAGCTGAGAGCTGAGAAAGGCTTTAAGCGACACAGGCCTAGTGAACTTTCTCAGTTGAGAAAGGTGACTCAGTCCCATGGCAAAGATCAGATGAAAGGCATCAGTTCTTATTCTCAGCTGATTGTCAGAATCACCTTGGTCCCACCTATGGAGCTTCTGATTTATAGGTCTGAGATATGTGAAACCTGGACATAGACAGTTTTTAAAAGTTCCCCAAGTGATCCTGTTGTACTACCAGAATTGGGAACCACTGACCTTGTTGTTTCATGTAGCCTCCAGGTGGCTTCTATTAATTGAAAGCAAGAGGTGTGGAGGCAAAGAAATACATCAGTCTTGAGAATTATGTCTAGAAATGAACTTTGTGTGTGGTTACTGGCACATGGAACTGACTGGAAGCAAATAGATCAAAGGCCTCCTAAGTTTCTGAGGGAATTATATTGGCAAAGAAACCGTGAGCCTGGACTGAACAAGCCCTTAACTATTTGAGCTATAAAGCTACTATAAAAAGAACCCAGAAGTTGCTCTGGCAGGGTCGGTTGATGGATTGTAAAGGTTATGCAGCCCCTCAGGAGGGTGTGCCAGGGCCCACTTGACCAAGGAGGGTATTGGTAGGGAAGACCCTCCTGCTCCTATTCCACCATTGTATATTGGGAGTGGGAAGGGGGCATGCAGGTAATTGCTGTTTTAGTTTGTAGCTTGTATCTGAAGAAGTTACATGTGATCCTCATGAAGAAGACTAGGCCATGTTCAGAGAGCCTGGATACACTGACTTAATGGGCCTTCAGATTTTCTCTCTGGGCATGTCGTGGTGTGGTCGGAGGAGCTGAGTGTGTTTTGTGTGTAGAAAAAGGGAGCAAAAAGGAATCTGGTGATAGAAGTGTATTCATGTTTTTCTTTTTGTGAACAAATTCCATTGGTGAGAACTAGTCATATGGTCCCATCTGGAGGATGGATTATATTAATATTATATAGATGTGTGTGTGTGTGTAAAAAACACTTCTCAGCCAAGGCAGTTTAAAGCAGGCCTCTCTATCTTTACTCTCCCACTGCCCATATGCACTGACAAATGGAAAGGTCTCCAAAGGAACCAGCTGTGGCAGGAGCCCTTAGATGGAAGGAGGCCAGGCACCTGCTTGATGGAGCACAGCCCTCTGCCAGTCTGCATAGGACTCTACCATGAGCAGAAATCAGGAGTATAGGGGTGGGGAGATTGGAGATTGAATACAGAGGTCATATAGGCCTTGTTGAGAAAGTAAGACTTGAGCAAAGACTCAGCAGTTTGCCAACAGACACGTGGGGAAGAGCAGAGGTGTTCAGTGTTCAGGCCCAGGGCAGGCGTGTACCTGTAAGGTTAGGGAAGAGAAGCCAGTGTGGCCAGAATGAAATGAGCAGGAGGAGGATTGAAGGAGGGGAAGTCAAAACATTAACATGGGCATGTTGACCACTGTTGGGACTTTTAGTCTGAATAAAGTGAGCAGTCTTTAGAGAGTTTTGAATAGAAAAATAGCATGATTTGATTTATATTTTAAAATGATCAGTCTGGATGTCACGTAAAGAGTAAATAGTAGGAAAAAAAGAAGCAGGGAGACCATTTAGGGGAGATTATTAAAATAATTACAACAAGATATGGTAGGATAGTAGCAGTAGAAGTTGTAGAAAGAGTTGAATTAGGATGTTTTATAATATGGCCTAATGGGTTGGATGTGGTTTGAGAGTGTAGAAAAGTCAAGGGAGACTCTAATATTTTGTCCTGAGCAACTGGAAGGATGGAATTGCCGTCAGCTGAGATGGGGAGTCTGTGGGTGGAGCACAGTTAGATGTTTAAGGGTCCAGTTTTGGACTTGTTGAATTTAAGTTGCTTATTAGATATCCATATACAGTGGTCAAGTAGACCATTATATAGAGTTTAAGAGAGAAGTCTAAGAGGGAA